TGTTACCAAGTACATTTGGGAATCTGGCCAACAAATGAAAACCTGTCAAGGAGTTCGTGGTGTGAATTTATTGTTCCTTGTTTGTGTGGATTTGGAATGGAGACCCTATAGATCATAATGGAACCTCCGTTGTATGGTAAATACTAATTGTTCATATGAATATAATAAATAGTTAAATATTTGATTTTTCTATGTATTAAATTTTGCAATTCATGAACATTTGTTTTCATGTAAGAAGTACCCTTTTTATTTTTTTTATGATATCCCTTTATGCTGAAGTGGTGATATGTTGAGTAATGAGAACTATTGTTTAGTTGAGAAAATGTCCTTATTTCCTTTTTTTTTTTTTTTTGATGGTGTTACCTGTGTATGACCAAAATTGATCTAATTTCTCAATAGTTTATGAGGCCCCGTGCACGTGACAAGAAACTTCATCAAGAATGGGCTACCCCATTAAAATGTATTGATGATATTCAAGAGGTAGAACTTTTAGCTTGGTGTCTATTTAGTCTTTTCTCTTTTTAAGTCTACCGGATATAATTATGATATTGTTTCTCTGGAACTGGTGTTTATCAGAAATTTAAAAATTATTGTCTGGGTAAGTTGAGAAGTAGTCCTTGGTCAGAGTTGGATGGGCTTCAGCCAGAGACAAAGGTTATACATGAACAGCTAGGAAGGATCAATTTGAAGGGTTTCCTTACCATCAATAGCCAGCCAGCTGTCAATGGGGAATGCTCTGATTCTCCATCTGTTGGTAAGTACTAGTATCTGACTTGCTTTTTCTTATGTATCCTCTAATTTGGTCGAACAGAATGATTCTGTTGCCCCCCCCAAAAAAAAAAAATACTGCAATCCGGTTTTGTCTTATATTTGAGTTAATTGAATGCGATATATGTTTTATTGGATAAGTTAAAAGGAACTGGTTTTTAATTTAATTTAGCACAGAGTCATCAGATATTATGAAAAAACAGGCAGCTGTGTTGGTAAAGAATTAAGAGCCTTTGATTTCTCAGTTTTATTTCTCCATTTGTACCAAGTGTTGGATTTTTGTTCCTTTGTTCATATATATAAATAACTAAATAAATATACATATATATATGTAGGCGCAGGATAGTAGTTTGCCTGAGTATGCAGTTGGTTGAGAACTCCTTGATGTGCTTCGGGCAGGACAACTCCTTGCGCTCTTGTCCCCTTCCCTTAGCTTCCACTTCTCATTGTAAAGCTGGTGCTATGTCTGGTCTAACTTGTTTTCGTTCAACTGCTTGCAGGTTGGGGTGGCCCTGGAGGGTATGTTTACCAGAAGGCTTATCTTGAGTTTTTCTGCTCAATGGAAAAATTAGATGCACTTGTCAACAAATGCAAGGCCTTCTCATCTGTTACTTACTTTGCCGTCAACAAAAAAGGGAATTTGTTATCAAACATTGGCCTGACAGATGTTAATGCAGTAACTTGGGGAGTCTTCCCTGCTAAAGAAATAATCCAGCCAACTGTGGTGGATCCTGCCAGCTTCATGGTGTGGAAGGATGAAGCATTCGAAATCTGGTCAAGATCATGGGCTGCCTTGTACCCGGACGGTGATCCATCTAAAAAATTCCTCGAAGAGGTTAGCTAATGAACCTATGCAATCTCGACAGTTATTGGTCACTTTCACGCTCACTCAAGCAACTACATTTCTCTTAGGATTGAGCACTATAATCATAATACAATGCTTTCCTTTCCATTTTTGCAGATTCAAAGCAGCTACTATTTAGTCAGCTTGGTAGATAACGATTACATGAGTGGTGATATTTTTGCTGTTTTTGAAGATCTTTGAAGATTACATGCTCTGCTATGCTCAACACATCATATCTCGTAAGCCCCTTTTATGGCTGTCTTTCTCCATATATTATTTATAGTTTTTTTTTTTGCCTTTGGTGTTTGAATTGTAACCTTATTTGTAATAATGACATTATCAAACACGAAAAGAAAAAAAAAATTGTAATAATAACTCAATTGGAATTTGACACATTCCCTTCTTCATTCATGATGCAAATTGCAATATCTGAAGTCATGATTATTGGTTTATTGAATTAGAATTTCTTTTTCATGTTAAAAGGTGGAGGACTCGAATATTGGTTTTTTTTTTTTTTTTTTTTTTTTAAAAAGAAAACCATGTTTCAATCACTTAATATGCACAAAATTATAGATTATTAAGGTAAATATATTGATTTTCCTCTGGCGTGAAAACAATAAGATTAAATTTAGAATTTAATTTAATTGATTTGTACGATTTTTTTAAAGAGTTAATTTCAATAAATTTGAAGTTTTAACATGTTATTTTTTTTTCTTATTTTAAATTACGTTCTTTTATAATAATTAACATCGGATAAATCAAAGATTTAAAATTTCAAAGTTATATCTTTTTATTTTAAATTAGTGATTAGCAAAAATAAAATTACAAAAATAAAGTAAGATTTCAAGTAAAAATTCAATTAATAAAATAAAATATTATAAGATAAAATTTTATAAAATTCAAAACTCATAAAATTTCACTTAATTACAATCCTGCATCAAACAAAAACTCACATGTTTTTTTTCTAAATTCAATTCAACATCAACTCAACGTGTCTTAATCCAATCAAAGTCCAATATACTATTACCTACCAAATCTAATAATTTATTTTTGTTCTTTATCTACCGATAATTATTTGACAAGAAAAATGCAATTTGATAACTCACAATTCAATTGAAAGTTATTATCTTATTTATTAATTTATGAGCGAAAGAGGTATTAACAACTTAAAAATGTCCATCCAAAGACATTATCGAATAATTTTATGTTATTTTAAAAGGTTTTAGCTAAATTATATTTTATTTTTAATTACACTTTATTATTTAAAATTTTAAAAAAATTTTAAATTTTCTCCAATATTATGATAAAATTTTTACAAAATTTTTCCATTTGTTTTTTTATTTTTTATTTTGAAGAGGTTTAAAAAAGTTTATTTATTTTTATTTTGATTTTACCAACATTTATTTTTTACTAAATAATTTATTAAAAATAAATAAAAATTTATATTGAAATATTTTCAAAATCTTTCCAGCACTTTTTGTAACAATTTTGTTTTAATTTTATTATTGGAATAATTTTATTTATCTTAAAAAATTTATAAAATTTACATGATACAAATAATTAAAAATAATTATAAAAAATTATATAGTTATTTGTCTAATCCATATTTTTAGTTTTTTTTTTATATTTTCAAATAATTAAATTATGTTCTTAATATAAAATTTAAAATATTTATATAAATAAAAAATCAACAAATAACAAAAAATTAAAACTAAAAAGAAAATGTAAGTAAGGGATAGTTTTAATTGTTTGTATCCTTTAACATTGAATGCATCTGAACATGTTTTATATTAGGCTTTAAAACAACTCGTGTGAGAGGTCCAGAAAGGTTGCTTCAAGTTTAATTATTGTCTCTTAAAGGAAAATCTTACTTATTTTTGCTATGAATTAATTTTAGCTTTATTTTTTATTTTTTACTTTTTATTTTCCAAAAAAGATTCATATATTTTCAAAAAACGTGAGTTCTAAGAAACTTGGTAGGGAATTTCGGCACTAGAAATTTCAGAAAGTCAACTGAAATCAACCAATGCTCTTAAACGAATACTTTCATTGACTACAAATTATCTTTTTTTTATATATATATGTTAAATACTAAATCTTTTTTTTTTTAATTTTTTTAGTTTGGCATGAATATCCTATTTCTAATTATTAGTCATAATTTTTTTGATAAATTATTAGTTATAATTAATTAGGCATATATATAATTTAATAATGAAAAACCAATTGTTTCGTCGGATCTTAAACCTAGGAAGTTTTCATCATCTTTTAACAAATATTTATGCAGCACTTGTCTAAGCTAGTCTGTCTGTCTGTCTGTCTGTCTATTAGAATACAATTTCTTTATGAACCCTGAGCCAAACCAAACTTTATTTGTCGTTTGATCTTTGATCTTAAAAAATATTGGTGTTAAGTTTTTAGCACAAAATAAAAATTACGAGGGTTAGACATTCATCATTGATCATTTACTAATAATCCTGAGTTAAGTTTTAATCTTAAATCGAAAATTTATTACAATTAAATACAAATAAAATATTAAAATTATTATATTATAATTCATATCAATACATAATAAATATAAAATATATTTTTATTTTTATTAAATTTATATAATTTTTATTAAAATTTTAAACCGTTTAACTTAAAATTATTTGGTTTTTCATGCTATAAAGCTACAGCTTCATCTCAAACATAAAAAAGTAACATGTTTCTTAAGATCAATATGTAATATTCTTCAATTTCAAAATGATATTTATTAAAATAAAATCAATTGTTTTTATTAATGAAAAAAGTTCAGGATTTGAACCAACTCTGCTTAATAACAACAATGGATTTTCATTGTGAAAATCATTTGTTAGGATTATCTTAAATACACGATCTGTAATTACTTATTTTAAATTATTAGATATGATATATTTTTATTTTGTAAGATTGAATAATTTATTTACTTCGAATTTTTTTTTACAAAAAAAAATAAATTTTCAGTTTTTTTTTTTAAATCAAAGTAATTATCCTTAAAATCAGAGAATCCCACCCATTTTCATTCGTATCAAAGCTCCGCTATTGCAAATAATGAAATTTACACCTCATCTCATCCCCCTCTTGCATTCCTTAAAAGCAAAATTAATTATGACCAAAACAATTATCAAAACGCGATAACAACACTCACAAACTTTAATTAATCTAATTGATAAGGAAAATAATTTTATTTTTGTTGTCAAGTTCAATATTTGTCAATTTCAATCATTATGAGAAATCAAAATATTCTGCAAAATATAAAATCATTTTAAAAAATTAAATTCAAATAAAATCGAAGAATATGAGGATGATATTTAAAAATAATAATAACATACATAATAACTAAAAAATAATAAAAAGAAAAATAAATGCATAAACAAATTGCTGTCATCATTTTTTTTTCTTTTTATATGAAAATCAACGGTCAAGATCTGCATTCTTTCCAGCAGACCCTACCACATTATTACACTTCATCTCCACAGATCTACACCTTTCTCTCCCTTTCTTAATTATCTCTTCTTTTTTTTTCACATTTATCATTTTCTATAACATCAAATCTATATCTATATGCTACATGAAAAACAAGCTGCAACAATTTGATCCTTTTTACATCAGTAGGACCACAACAATAACTCTAAAAAAGAAAAAGAAGAAAATTCATGACGAAAAGGGAAAATAAGAAGAAATTAAAGGGGTGGAAAGAAAAAAAAAAGGGGGGGGGGGCTAACCATGTGAATGATGATGAAGATCAATGTTCTTAGCCGGATTCTTTGGTATTTTGAGTTTCCTTTTTTACCCTCGGCTGAATTCCAAAATAACTAACGTACCATTTGACAAATTTCCTCAACCCGGTGGCCAAATCTGTGGTGGGTTTGTATCCAAAATCCTTATAGGCTAAGGTCACATTGGCATGTGTGAAGGGCACATCCCCATTTCGTGGCATCGTGATCACATGTTTTTTGGCCTTTGTGTTTAGCAATCCTTCCAAGATTGAAACCAATCTCCCAACAGGGACTGGAGAGGTATTCCCCAAATTGTATACTCTTAATTGAGCTGGACCTTTCTTCTTGCCACCACTTCCGGTGCTCTTTTCAGCCGTGTCTAATGCCCCTAAACACCCTTTCACGACGTCGTCAATGTACGTGAAGTCACGCGCCACCTCTTTCTGATCCTGTGTCTGGTAAATGTCAATGGGCTTACCTTGTAGAATATCTTTAGTGAAGAAGAAATAAGCCATGTCGGGTCTTCCCCAGGGCCCATAAACCGTGAAGAATCGCAGTCCCGTAAGGGCAAGACCGTAAATATGGTTGTAAGTGTGGGCAATTTCTTCCCCAGCTTTCTTGGTAGCAGCGTAAAGACTAGCTGGTTGGTCGGTCCTGTCTCGTTCGGAGAATGGGTTTTCAGTGTTGAGGCCATAAACAGAGCTTGAAGAAGCCCAAACAACGGATGGCTGAGGATTGGCTGTTTTGGCTACCTCAAGTAGGTTAACAAAACCTGCAATGTTCGAGCTCACATACGATTGTGGGTTTTGCATGGCGTAACGTACACCGGCCTGAGCTGCTAAGTGAAGTATATGAGTGAAAGGGACGACATCAAAGAGCTTGGTTAACAACGGTGCATCGTTCAAATCACCTTCGACAATGAAAATTTGGTGCTTGGTTAAAAGGTTTTGCCTGGCTCTTTTCAAAGTAGGATCGTAGTAGTCATTAAAGTTGTCTAAACCAAGAACCCCATCACCTCGTTTTTTCAAAGCGAGGCAACAGTGGGAACCAATGAACCCGGCGGCGCCCGTGACTAAAACAGAAAACCCATTGGGTCTACGTGGGGTGGAAGAGTGACGGACTTGTTTTTCCCAGGGGGCGCCGCCGGGAGAGGTGGCTGAAAAAAGAGAAGTAGAGAGGAAACTGTGGTGGTGGCGGTGATGAGGAGGAACATGGTGGGGATTGTCAGAAAGAGGAGGGTAATTGATGGTAAAAAAGAGGATTAAAACTAAAGCAATGAGAAGGGTTACTCGGAAGAGAAGTTTAGAAGAAGCATTTAGCGTTTTTGTGCTGTGAAGTTTTCGGAGATAGCTATTGTATCTCTCTAGTTTCACGGTTTTGCTTGTGTCTGGTGGTGTAGGCATTATTTCTCAAGATTTCTCTGGTTTTGTTTTCAATTGAAGTCTTTTTTGCTGTTTGGGAAGAGAGAAAGGAAATGAGAGAAAAGGGCTCAATGTACTAAAAAAGAGAGCTTGATTTTTGAGGTTGAGCCCTGAATTCGTGAGAGTGTAGGTGGAAGATTATAAAGAGACAGAGAGGGAGAGGAAAGAGGGGCAGGGGCAGGGGCTGGCGTTGGTGTTGGTTGGAGACCACTTCCTTTGTCCGGGTAGTTTTAACCTAGCTTAGATTGCTTCACTATAGATTACAGATGGAAAGTGGGCAATAAATGGGATGACCAAATGGCCCTTGTTTTCATTGATAATTACAATGTGAATCAAATCAATGATCATTGTTATTATTATGCAAATGGGAGGAGATTGAGAATTTTGACAGCTATCTTCTTCTGTAGGGAAAAACCCATCCCCCCATGTGCTCCTCACGTGATGCAATGTCAACACTAAGACTTTCCATTCAACTTCCAAACTCTCCATATCCCTGTTCCATACCCATGGCAACGTGCACAATTACTAAAAATAGCATCGTTCAATTTGTAAACAAATTGAATTTCATACTCAAAAAATGCTAAATTGGTAATTACTTATTTGACACTCATTTCTAAATTTAGTATACTATAATAATAAAGCAACAAAATATAATTCAGTTAATTTATATAATATTTTTTAAAAAATAATATTTCATATGTTTGAAATTTAAATTTTAATATTTTAATATTTTTTATTTTTACATAATGATTTTTTATGTAAAAATAATATAATAATATACTAATTGGGAAAAAAAAAAGTTAGATCATGAGGTAGCATCACTCATTCTAAATAATTTTGATTGGAATCCTTTGGAGTATAAAAAAAATTGGATTGAAGCTATTCTATCTATATTTTGTCCATTTATTCTCTCTTTTATTGTTTTATTAAGATTTTATTAATTTTTTATTTTAATAAATAATTGTTAATCCTATTTTGATATCAATTTCTAATGGCAAGAGCTCCATTTTTTTTTTTTTTCATTATCCAATAAAAAAAATGGACCGATCCTCTGGGAAACTTGTGGGCAGTTCAATGTAAAATCATGTGGCCGTGAATCATGACTTCTTTTAAACCTAGGTCAACCAGTAATAAAAACTTTGTGCTTTTTTTTGTTTTATTTTTTAAATTTTCAGCGTATATTTATGATTTTTTGTTACCGACAAAGAATTTAAGGTTTCGATTCATCTTCTGAATTTTTTTTTTCCAAAATTCAAATTATGCCATTTTTACAGAGTTTAAGGTACAGTTAATTATTATTATTAGGTTATGTTTCTGCAAGACGAGAAACTTGCCGCGTCGGTGGTCTCAATCATTTTTTTTTCTTATTCTTGAGCTGAGAATAATTTATTTTTTTTGGAAAATAATTTTATATTTTCATTTGAAAAAATTTATAAAAATTTATATTATATAAAAATTTTTAATTTAATATTCTTATTTAAAGTAAAATATATAATGTAACATATTTATTATTATTTTATCAATTAATTTAATATTTGAGATATTAGATGAAATGAATGATACGATTATCATCCAATCACATAATATCCGTAACATATTTTATTATGATATTTAATTATATCATCTTTCAAAATCACATTCAAATAATTTTATAAAATAATTTTATTTTTAAAAATAAAAACTCAAAAATTACCGGATTTCTAAACGATGAGAGTAGATAGAGAAATAGGTGAGGAAAGAAGAAAAAAATAATTTTATATATTTTTATAATTTTGTTTTTTAAATTTTCAATAATATAGTTTAAAATAAAAATATTTTTAAAGACACGTGACATATCATCGTGATGCCACATGTACATGCCAGGTTGACATTTTAATGAGCCTTCAATGCCGACATGATACGATGATGTAGTATTACTGGCCACTTGCTCTTGCGACTAGGCAGGTGAAAGCCATGTCAGCTGATTTTATTATCGGTGTTAATTTCGTGTACCAAATTATCATACCAAATGATAGTACATATTTCACATTCCGCATTTCTAAAATATATGTACTATATTGAAATTATGCAAAGTCTAAGGGCTAAATGAGACATTATCCCATTTATGAATTATATTAATGACACCGACCAAAAAAAAAATTATAATGACTCTGAGAAAACGTGTTTGGCAGGGTCCATTTTTTTTATAATGTAGTTTTGTTGGTAATTAATTTTCCATTGTGCTGAAAAGTAAATCTTGACCCATTGATTGATTCCATTTATCACTCAAAACAACTTGAAGACTAACATTAGTAAATCGAAAATAATTTAAGGAGAAACAATTTATGTTTCTATTAAGTAATGGAATGTGACTTTGGAAACCCTGAATTTATTTTTTTGGCTATTTTTCTTTCATGAATCAATCATGATCTAGATTCAATGTAATAATTTTTGTAAATTATTAAATTAGACTTTGATTTGATAAAGAGTCTTATCTTATAATTCACAACTTAATCAATGTTTTAAATCTAATTCTAAATTAATTATTAATAAATCTCTTTAATAATTATTTTTAAGTTACATTGGTAATTAAATACGAGTTTATATTTGATACACTGTTAACGTATAGATTTTATATATTGTTAATAAATAAGATAATGTCACATTATGAATAAATATCAACCCTTAAAATAAATATATAAAAATTAATATTTTTTTAAAAAATTACTCATTAATGAGATAGTATTATTTGATTCACTTCATTAATAAGATGATATCATCTTATTCACTAACGGTATATAAAATTTATATACTAACAATATATTAAATATAAATCCATTAAATATTACATATGTATAATTAACTATTATAATATAATTAAGTTCTAATCATTGAATAATCAAATAAGAAATTATGATATAACTAAATAATTAAATTTACACAATAAATCTTAAACTTAAAATATCAAAATCTAAGATCTTTTTACTATTAAGCCAAGACTTCATTGACTTTTTTAATAATTGTTAAGTCTTCCCATTTGGGGAATAAAAATGAAAAAGGATATATTGAAATAAAGTGAGAAAAGTATTTCTCTCATAGAAAAATTAAGATTATTCTATTTCATGTATAGAATTTGTAAAAATATAATAATATAAAATTTAATTTTAATTTAATTAATTTATGTAATTATTTTTAAAAGATAATATTTAATATCTCTTAAATAATGTTTTATAAATATCTGCTAATGGGTCCTTTTATAAATAATGAATTAAAGAATATTTTAGCCTATCTTTTTCGATAACCACCAATCGATTTCATAAATTTTATTTCTCATAAGGTTGCTATTGTAGTTAATAAGAAATGCAAGGGCAGTTTCCGTGAAGGTCGTTTCCATTACAACCTTTTTCACTGCATGAAACTATAGATCTATCCTTGTTTGGAGTGGGAAAATAATAAAAATAAATAAGAAAATTTATTTAAGATCTTGGACAACTCAATTGATCTATTCATAGTAAAAAATAGTAAATGTGAAAGTTATACAACCCACAAGGTTTGACGTAGGACATGGGTCCTACAAGTTGGATCCATAAATGTCCTTATCCTACCGGTGGAAGATGCTAGATGGGAAATATAAGGGAAGGTTCCAAACTCCAAAGGCCACATTAAATCTTTTTGGGGTCATCCCTTACCTATCGTTCCGTGTGAGACGAAGTCTCTTTATCACATGGGAAGATATAAATGTAAGAAAAATACATATAATAATTAGATTTTTTGTCCATAACTATAGAAAATGATGCCAAAACCCCAAATTTTAAATACAAAATATATGGGGTGACTAAGATAGTAATCTACACTTCCAACTTTTGTACTTTTGACTTTAAATTGGCATTCATCTTCTTCTATATAGACTTTGAGTCATGGTTGATTAGTGCAAATAGATTTACGTTCAACAACTATATGCCATACAAAGTTCATAGCAACTTTTTGCACTTGAAAGTTTGTTTAGACTTAATTTTGTGTTAAACGATTAGTGTGAGTGATTATGATTTAAAGTTTGTATTTAAAATAATTAAAAAAATGATATCCAATAAGTTTAAAATTTAAAATTTAATATTTATAAATCTTTTTATAATCTCTTTTGTACAAAAAAATGTTTATTATAGTTACAAAATTAAATAAAAACTTTCAATTAAAAATAAATTCATTATAAGTTTATAATCATAATCTTATAGGCATATGATTTGTTAGTAGAATGTTTTAACTATAAATTCTAATTATCAGAATTCAATTGTTGTCGATTTTTTTTTTAAGTTATCGTTGATAATTTTAAATGAAAACAATCAAAATCTTAATTATAAATTTCAAAATTTTTTATATGTTTACTATTAAACTCAAGTCGAATCCTAATGCATTAAGTTTTGATTTTTTTTTTTTTTTGGTAGTATATGAAAAGTATTAGTATAGTTTGAAATTGATGTACCAAACTATCATTGAAAAAAAAAAAGAGAATTTCTACGCGTTTTTAGGTTGTTTGGCACAGCATGGGAAGTATTATAATAACAAAAATTAGACATTTATAAACATGGTTGAATCAAGTTGGAAAGTTGTAGTATAATTAGTTGAAATTGGTTTTGAAGAACTTGGAACAAACGTAAAAAACAAAATCTTTCGATTGTAAAAATTATATTAGCAATGGAGATGTGGGTCATGGCACTTCTCATGATTTCTTCAATGGATAAGAATGTTAGACCATATCCAAATAGGATTCTCTGTGAAATTGTCGGGTGAAATATATAGCAAACTATTGTTTTTCTATTTTACTTCATCATCAATATAATTTATTATTTCATAATATGTAATAATTTTAAAAAATAATATTTAATAATTTAAATTTTAAATTTTAATATTTATAATTTTTTTAATTTAAAAAATTACGACATTCTTTATATAAGAAAAAGAATAGAAACAATGATTGCGAAATCTGTTCCAAAGCCTATGTATAGCTCTTAATTGTTCATAGAAGTAGTTGGATTTTGGAACTTTAGGAATCAATTTCTTTATGAAATTATGTGGTGCCTTTTGTTTTTTCGTTTTTTTATCTTTTCTGGAGCATTAAACCTAGAAAAAATCTTAGGTTGTTCAATCTATCTGACAACGGCATGACATACCTTACCCTATAGGAGTCCAAGTACTCAAATTTAAAGGCAAAAAATAAGACTTG